AAAAGTCAGTGGATGGTGTCCATGATTTTCCTTTTTGTTTGTTGTTGGGTTTTTTTTAACCAACAGCCACAGCAATGAAAGATCATTCCAACATTATGGTTCCCAGGTGGGGGAGGTGATAAATTTCTCAGCACAGAACATTTCTAGAAATTGCAGGCTGACTGGCAGCTTTTCTTCAAGCCAGGGACCCACCTGCATCAATAGGCAACAAACTGATCCTTTATCCCCCAACAATAAGCAGTCCCGCTGGACTGCCAGGGCTCTGCCCCCTACAGAAGTTTCTCGACTCTCAGAGCTGGATTTGGCTATGCTTCCATGTTGGCAACTTCCCCTCTCTGAAGCCCGCCTCTTCTTTTCTTTGCTGCTTTTATGTCTTTTATTTACAACCCCCCTATTGTCAGCCAACAACATGCAGATAGTTGGTGACATGGGAAAACGGCAGATTTAAGTCTGATAAAAGGGATTTGCAACACAAATAAGTAGGCTGTTGACTCAGAGGGGTCCCAGGGAGAAACTAATGTGGGGGTCCCTCCCTTGTGCTCACCCGCTGGATGACTCGCACTGACTTAGCCTTAGTGAGGCTTAGTGTTTCCCAGGCAATTGTCCTGCTTGCTTATCCCTAAAACCATCTCCGACCACAAAATATCCCTGGGGCCAAGAGATGAGCAGTATTATTTTTTTTCAAAGGGATGCACACTTCTTTTTTGTAGGTGAAACACAGCTCCAGTACAGAGGGACACAGAGGACCTATTTCTCATGCTTCAGAGCAGAAGCCAGATGGGTTATTTCAGTCTGCAACGTCTACAGCCTTCTCCTGCCACCTCTGTTACTGCCTGAGACACGATGCCGGATCAGACTGACCTAAAAATGATCTGACGCTACCTGAAAATTCCTACTTTCTTTTGAAGTGAGAAACCCAAACCATCCACTCTTATGACATGTATCATCCTTTCAACAACCTCTCTTCTCTTGAAGTATGAGAGCCTGTTTGCTGGGCTTTCCTCATCTGAAATGTTAAAATGAACAGTTCTATGAAGATAACTCCTGGACACCCCAAACAAAATTGGTTTCCTGTTGTGCTAAGGCTTCTAACCAACAAGGGTAGTGAGAAACAGTTACTGCCTCCAAGAACTGAGAGTTGAGAGAGACTAGGCAAGCGGTGGGGAGGGACCAAGGGCGCACAAAGGTGAGTTGCCCTGCCCAGCATCTTGGGTTCACCAATTTCAAGGAGCAAAACCCATGACACGGTTGTGGATGCTCTACAGACCTCTGGGACCAGAAGTAGCTGATGCCACTGCCAGTTCTGGTTAGTGCCACTGCCATAATTTGGTGCTGCTTGCTGGCTAAACACTGTGAAGAGATGAAGAGCCAAGTAGCTCAAGACAGCATTGTTAGCACCGCTTTGCTGCCGCTCAGACAAGCTAATTAGTATGTAAGTGCAGGTTTGCACCTTATAGGCTAATTTGGGGATGCACAAGCATTTGTAAGCAACAGCTGCTTTTGTTTGTTGAAATGAAGAGTTGCTTGCATGAAAGCACGTGCATCTCTGAGCTAGTTAGTTTCTACAGTTCAACTCTGCCCTGCCTTCTGCCTGACTTCAGACTAACGTGACTACTTCTCTGGAGTACAGCAGCATCCACACAGCACTGAGACAGTTAGCAGGCCTGCCTACAACCCTGGCTATGTTGTTTCCAGATTCATAGATGTTAGGGGCTGGAAGGGACCTCATGAGATCATCGGGTCCAGCCCCACTGCACTTGGGCAGGAAAGACTGCTGGGGTCATCAGAAGTAGCCATAAAGTACCTATGAACATGGAGAGAGGATAGATCTATTTCTATGGCACTAAGCAGCATCATTCTTCAGCTTCTTGGCACAGACAGGAAGATACTGAATAGCTCTAATTTTTTAAAATCAGGGTGGAAGTCCAGTTTTAGAAAGTGCTCAGAGGTTCAAGGAGACCTAACCATCATGGATTTTCCATGTTAGCCCCAGCTGGAAAACTGGGGCTAACATGGAAAATCCATGAATGTTGGTCACTTGACCATGAGTAGAATCCAGGCTAATGTCTTAATTATCAAATCAAAATGCCTATGCTTTAATCATAGAGGTATCCCCCTTCAACCTCAAAGGATAGTGTGTTTATATTTGTACTCATCAGAGCAGCTTTCACATGCCTACAAGCCATTGTCTTTTCAAAGATCATGCTTATAATGCAACCCTGAATCATTAATGAATGCTCCGCTTTGCACAGCTGTGGTATATATGTGATCTATATAGCTTTTCAGCTTGTCTACAAAAATCCTTCAGTCACAGCCTGCAATTCACATTTTCTCCCTTTTGTTCCAGGACAACCACTCCACATCATCATAACTTGCCTCCAGAAAGTGTGTCAAGCTTGCATTTTTGCTGTAATGTGGAGCCACTGATTTGGGTATATGATTTATGTGTATTATTTGCTAGGTCAAATCATACTAAAAGAAATGTAAAAATAAATGTATTATGCAGAAAAAGAGGATATTAAAAATAACTAATAAATGCAGCTGTTTAAAAAAAAAAAGCACGACTGCTTCAAAAGTATATTTTTTCCATTTGTTTTCATGATAAACTGGCTTCTGATTTCACCAGAATGTCCCATTTTCATCCAATTTTTCCCCTGGTCTTGAAAGCTGTCTTTATTTTATCCTTTTTTTTTTAAATGACGTATGCATTTTTAAACAGTTCGAAAGTGGGTGTCTGAGTTGGGAAATGGGAAGGCAATGACCAAAAAGATCCCTGTCCAGAACTGCTGAGGCCGCCGTGTCTGTGCTGACAGGTCTTTTCATAGTTTCATAGATTGTTAGGGGCTGGAAGGGACCTTGCAGATCATTGGGTCCAGCCCCCCCGCACCAAGCAGGAAAGACAACTGGGGTTAGGAGACCCCAGCGAGGTGACTGTCCAGTTTCCTCTTGGAAACCTCCAGGGTAGGTGACTGCACCACCTCCGGAGGGAGTTTGTTCCACAGTCTGGACACACTGACTGTGAAGGAGTTTTTCCTGGTATTAAACCTGAAGCAGCCTGCTAGGTGTTTGTATCCATTGATCTTGATCTTCCCCAGGGGTGCCCTAGTGAACAGCTGTTCACCAAGCTCCTGATGTGCTCCTTTGATATAGCGGTAAGCCGCTACCAAGTTCCCTCTCAAACTACTCTTCTTTAGGCTAAAGAGGCCCAGGTTCATCAGCCTTTCCTCATATGGCTTGCCTTGCAAGTCTCTGGTCATGTGGGTGGCTCGTTTCTGGACCCTCCCAAGTTTTTCCATGTCCTTATTGAAGTGCGGTGCCCAGAACTGGACGCAGTCCTCCAGCTGCGGTCTCACCAGCGCTGAGTACAGCAGGAGTATCACTGCCTTAGTTTTACATGAGATGCATTGATTGATGCATGCCAGCATGTTGTTTGCCCTGCTGACCACTGCCTCGCACGGACGGCTCATTCATACGATGGTCAATCATTACCCCTAGGTCCCTTTCGGCCGTGGCGCAAGTCAAGCTGTCACCACCGAGCCTGTATGTATGTTGAGGGTTTTTTGCCCCCCGATGGAGCACCTTACACTGGGAAGTGTTCAACTTCATTTAGTCCCAACTCTTGAGCCTGTCCAGGTCCGCCTATATCTGCAACCGATCTTCTGGCATGGACATGCTACCCCATAACTTGGTGTTGACTGCGAATTTGGCCAGCGAGCTTTTCACTCCCTTATCCAAATCACTGATAAAGATGTTAAAAAGCACCGGTCCAAGCACGGGCCCCTAAGGGAGACCACTGGCCACTCCTTGCCAGGACGACACTGATCTGTTCATGAGACCTTTCTGAGTCCTACCATGCAGCCAGTTTCCCACCCACTGAACCTCTGAGCCCACAATCTTCCAGTTTTCCCACCAGGGTATCGTGGGATACTAGACCAAAAGCCTTTTGGAAGTTGAGGTATATAACGGCGACCTTGTCTCACATGTCCAGGTGGCAAGAGACCTGGTCGCAGGAGGTGAGATGGGTAAGATCAGACCTACCCACAATGATGCCATTCAGAAACTTACCTTCTGCGAGTGATACTTTAATGAGCTTTTCCAGGATTTTCTCTCAGATGAAGGTTAGGCTGACTGGCTTATGGTTGCCCGGGTCCTCCCTCTTCCCTGTCTTGCACATGAACACCACATTGGCCCTCTTCCAATCCTTGGGGATCTCCCATGCACGCCATGATTTCTGCAAGCGTTTCCCAGGGGTCTCGTAATGACCTCAGCCAGCTCCTTCAGCATTCTTGGATGGAGTCCATCCGGTCCCCCTGACTTATAAATGTCTAGCTTTTCTAATTGGTGTTGCAGTGTCAGTCCTGGCATGTCCCCGACAAGCCTTCTCTCGCCTGACTTACCCCTGAGTGTGGTGACAGGATGTGACCGGCAGAGTTTGGATGGTCCTGGGGTGCATCGTAACCTTTTTCAATTCAAGGCACCTTTCCTTAGGCTCGAGCCCCCTCAAACTGTCGGCTCTTCGTCTTCGCTCGTTTTTTGGACGACGGGAAATAACTCCGCTCGTTTTTTCTGTCACAACGAGGTCAGGAAGAACAGCCTTGTCCTTCTGGTCGCACCAGCATTTCCATTTTGGTCCATTTTTTTGGACCGCGGAAAAATAACTCCACATTTTTTTGTTGAAAAGAGCTTGGGAACAACAGGCTTGTCCAAAATTTCCATTTTGATCCAATTTCCCCCCCTGCATTGTAAGTAGTCCCGGGGTGGAGGCCACAGCCACTCTGAGCCCCACCAGGGCACCCCTTGAGGGGAGAACTACACCTCCCAGCGTGCACTGCGCAACGGGGGGAACTACAACTGCCGGCGAGCCCTGTGTGTGGGAGAGACTACAACTCCCGGCATGCACTGCGCGGAGAGCACTACGGCTCCCAGCATGCCCCTCTTCCTCCCCGCCAGCAAACCACAGCTCCCGGCAGCCGCCGCGGCCCGTCTCCCGGGCAACGGGCTGGCAAACAAGATGGCGGCGCCCATGTGCGAGGCGGCCTCAGCCCTCCCGCTCCCGCACCAGCAGCAGGAGAAGGAGGAGGAGGAGGACGGGTCGGACCTGGAGCCACTGCTCATGGAGGTCCCGCCAAAACCACCCCCCCATGGCTGGGGGGCCCTGGGGGGGTTGGGACACTGGTTGGGGGTGCTGGGGTGCGCTGGGAATCCCCCGGGGACCTTTTCTGGGGCGGAGGTATTGGCTGGGGGTTGCTGCGGGTGCCCTGGGGGTCCCCTGCTGGGGCTGGGGCACTGGTTGCAGTGCCCTGGGCACCTTCCTGATGCTGGGACACTGGCTGGGGGTGCTCTGGGGGTCCCCCCTGGGGCTGGGACATTGGCTGGGGGTGCCCTGGAGAATCCCTGGTGCTGGGGCTGTACTGGACACCCCCTCCCCGACACTGAGACATTGGCTGGGGGTGCCCTGGGGATCCCCGTGTGGCTGGGGTACTGGTTGAGGGGTGCTGGGAGTGCCCTGGGGGGGTGCCCTAGGGACCTCCTTGGGGCTGAGACACTGGCTCAGCAGGGGCAGCAGATGCTAAGGACACTTGGGCAATCTCCCTCACACAGCCAGCTGGCAGGATGGGACGATGGCAGCTGAGTGTAGTGGCTGTATCTTCCTCCCCCAGGAGCAGACAGTGGGGTGTGTGGGGTGTCCAGGATGGTTTTAAAAGCTGCTGAGCACGGGAGCGAGGTACGCACTACCTCTGCCTCCGAACTTCCTAGACCTTCAATGCTGGAAGCTGCGAGTGTGAGTGGACCAGCCGGGGGGGGGGCGGAACCCCCGTTCAGGTTCAGGTCACTCGCCCTTTCAGCATCTGCTGTCTACCCTGGTGTGACAGGATGCTGGGCAAGGTGGACCTGTGGTCTGACCCAGTCAATGGCAGCTTTTATACCTGTCTTTGCACCCCCCCAGTCCTTCCTTCTGCATAAAAGGGGCAGGCTCCAGGCTGGCCCCTAAGTTGCTGGACAGGGACATCAACTGCATGGGGCAGGTGAAGACTGCCCATGTGCCAGCTCTGATGCATCATGCTCTCCAGGGAAGCCAGTGGCTTTCTTCCCACTCCTTTGTGGCTCTCTGATATATCCATAGCCCTGGCATCGCCCCCGTGGGTATTTTCATATATCTGCAGCATCCAACTGTAGTATCAAGATGCCACAATTTATTTTAGATTATTCCGATTTGAGAGACGGTACTCATCTTGGTGTCTAGATTAGACACCGCTGTGTTATTTCTTCCAGTTCACAGGCATTTCACAAACCATTGGCTCGTTTTCCCATTAAACCTATGTACTGGTGCATGAGTGTCACCTGCCCCTTTTGGACTGGCTGTTTTATGAAGAGGAGTGCCAGTTAGGTTAAAACTTCATAAAGGACCACTGAATTTCTGAATATATTAACTCTGAGCAGGCTGCTTGAGACGTTTTATTGCTTGTTTGCTGAGATGGGAAGTATCCACAGTCAAGCAGAGCTTCCTGCATTTTAGCAAAGCCCTTTTTTGAAGTGGGACAGATATAACGCAATGTACAAAAGCATTTATGGCCCTTTTCTTGAAAAAGTTTGAGCCTCTGTCTCTTCTGGAAATAATATATATTAACTGCTCATTTTTAGTGCCCAAGCTGTATCCACATCCACACCCACTCCCTCCCAGGTGTGTGTGTGTTCGTGCTGTAAGAGGGTCATGATGCTAGTAATGAAACCTGTGTTTGTCTGAGGGCCTGTGCCATCAGTTGTCACTTGCATCCTGTGCCACCCCAGTGACTTTAGCAGGATTGCGGAGTGTACGGTTTGGTCCCTGAGTCCCTTCTAACAAGATCTCTGTGTCTGTCCTTTCGGCATTTTGCAGGAGCATTTTAGTGGGGTGCTGAATGACAATATCATAGCTGAAGCCCTGTACAAGCTGGGCCGTTCAGCGCTTGGCACCGAATACGTTTACCTTAACCTGTCGCTTTCGGTGAGTATAACTAAAGGACGACCGCCTTTCCTATATAGCCATTGCTGGGGCACGTATCTGTGCCCACAAGTTTGCCTGATGGTGAAGTGGCGTTATAAGAGAAGATGGCGTCTTGACACCCATCTTGCTGATCCCAGGAGTCTTTCCTGCCCAAGTGCAGGGGGGCTGGATTGAAACTATGGCTTGGTTGGCAGAATGTTTTCTGATCCTGTGATCAGTCTCTTTGCCTGCTATAGTTGTCATCTTTGTGTGTCTATTTTGGGAGGTTTGGAAGCTGTGACTTGATCCTTGCTGGAAACTTGCTGTCTTGGTACTAGTTTCTCTTTACTTCCCCTTCTATAGCTCTGGGAGTCAGGGATTTCTTCTTCAGTGCAATTGCCTACACCTGTCGGGCTGGGTTTGACCAGAGTGCGGGGGAGGGGATGATGATCCCCTTGGCGTGCAGTGTTTGAACCACATTGGTAGGAGATAATTGCCCCCCCATGGGAATTAGCCATTTCAATCCCAGTTTCAGATGACTTAGCTCAGATTCTTCCTTTAAGTGCAGCCTGAGTTCGTAGCATTTCCCTTAGTTGTGGCTCTCATGACTGCAATTTTTATTTCTACTTTGACACTTTTTCTTATTCACGACTCATCTGGGGCAAATGAAAGACTTTTTTTTTCTTTTTTAATAGTCTTATTCAGGTGAGCACAAAGCCAGTGTCCACCTTAAGGGAGCTGTGGGCACTTCATCATTGGTTCCTCTCCTGGGAGACCAGGGTGAGATTACACAACTAGTTATTAAATCCTCTTTACTTCTATTTTTCCAGGGCCGTAATTTAAGCGACATTAACATTCTCTCCAGATACGTTCACCTAGAGAAGTTGGAACTTTCACACAATAAAATTAATGGTATGTAGTAGGTATTCTAGTAAACTCTTGGTTATGAAATCATTTAAGATGAAAAATGCAGCGTACCATGTAGCTTTAATATTACAAAACTTGGCCTACATTTTAATGGCATGACTAATCCAATTCTATATGCTGATGCTATGGTTGGGTCTCCTTGAGAATGATGTACTGACAGTGTTCATACAACTGTGGCAGCATATGCTAGGCAATAAGATGTAAATATTAGTGTCTGGTTTATTATGCAAAAGTAAAAGGCAAACAGCCATGTTAGTGTAAGGGGAAGGCTGAGATTCTACACATGCAAGTGTCAAAATATTGAAAGATCAGTCTGGTTACAGGTATTCTGCTTCTGGGCTTTTCTTCAGCAAAGACCTCCTAGTGAGAGATGAAATATATTAAATTGGAAGCTGCTTTTCTGATGAGCACATTTGGGGACTGGGCTGAGACCTGCCAAACTCATTTTTTAATCTACTGTAATCAGCATCATAAGCAATAAGGCTGTGGCAGTCACCTGCTCTGTCACTTTCTCTCCACTTTGGATGCTGAATATCAGGGCATCTCCATGTTACTCTACCTTGTGCCAATTCTGTTGTTTCCAACTTGTAGACCAAATAATGCCTGAACTGATCAGGGCCTTTACTCCAGGGGGATAATCTCTCTTTGAAACATGGCTTTCACGAGATAACGAATATTGCTAAGTAATTACTAAGTTTTGAAGGGGAAAAATTCCTCTTGCTGCCATTTTATAATTTGAATTGGCTCAAATGTCACTGTGTGGAAGACAGATTTCTGGCTGATCTAAAATTCTCAGAAGTCTCATTTTCCTAAAGTCAAAGTCACTAACACGGTGTTGAAAAGCTCACTCTCTTCTAGGTCATAAAGTTAAATTAGTTCATGGTAAAACTTTATTTTTTTAATAATGGAAAACTGATATAGGATTTGGTGTTCATCTCTGTCTTTCATTGTTAACAAACTATCCTTTGTGGAGTAAAAGATGCTAATACACTTAATTACTGCAGGCCAAGCCTTGCTCTATAAATTATCTGATCTAAAATTGATTTTTGGTTGCTAATGGGTATAATTACCATATTAAATCATAATACCCATCATCATTGTATTCCCCTCTGCATCCTTTTACTTAATTTGGTGTTTCCCTTTGTTAACTAGATCTGTCTTGTGTCAGTCACATGCCTTACTTACTGGAACTTGATGCTTCCAATAATGAGTTGACTACATACTTCGATTTCAAACCTCCTAAGAGTCTCAAGGTAAAACAGATTTGCTAGATTTAAATTCAAGGACTATATATATGGTCTTGATTTGGTATTTGGGCAGACCACGAAATCAAGTCTTTTGTCTCCCTACCCCTCCATCTTCCTTTAGTTGACATTTTTTTTAAACATAAAATATCTAGGGAAATCAAACTTGATTTGTATCTCTTTTGTTTAAAATAGTGAATCTTAACTGCCACAGGGATAGCAGTTTATACAGTGGACTCCAGGTACATGGTTAACATTCTGCCAAATGAATCCAATCTTTCATGGAATCAATTCCCACTTTTCAGATTGACTGCTGCCAGTCACTAATGAGAAACACGTATGTGAAGTATAACCATATGCTGATCTTCCTTTTCTGCTGTTGTTTTGATGGAGTCCAGTATGGCTTTAAAAATCTGGAGTGTTTTGAAATACTACAATTATTTCTATGCTTTCTCTACCAGTTCTCTAATCTTAATGTGAAAATTGCCAGGGCCCTTAATAAAAATGTTTGTAAGAGAAAGGCACATTTGTTTTTTGAAAGTTCTCAAAATTTGAATTATGCAGCTCATACAAATGAGGTCTTGTCAAACTTTAATATTAATGATCATCTTGCTTCTTCCACACCATTCCATCAGTGTTGAGGCAACTCAAAGGCCTGGAGAAAGAAAGCAAATTTGTGTATGTCCTTTTTCTCTTCAGGAGGTAGATTTTTCATACAACCAAATATCTGCAATGCGAGATTTGTCTGCATACCAGTTACTTACCAAACTCATACTGGACTGTATCCTTTCTGGAATTTAGAACAGGAACAGGATTTTTTTTTAAGAGCTGTTTATTCTGCTTTCATTTTACAGCTTCACTTAACAAGATGATTTTCTCTGAAAAATGAAAGCAAAAATAGCGTCTAATCTACTGGTGAAATTACTTTTAATTTACTAAGCATCAATATCTTAATGGAAAGGAAAGGTGTGTAGCGAGGGTGTTTATAAAGATCGAATACAGTAGGCATGTCATGGGAAAACAAAAAGAAAAACACTTTGCATCCTGAAAAGTAAGAAAACCATGAGTCATTCTCCCTAGACATGGCAAAGATGATAAACAAACTTATGTTCCTCACTGCAGTATCCGGATATGAAGCACTGAGTTTACTTTTAACTCCCTTGACTCCATAATCATGTTTTCCTTCAGCTACACACTTTATTAGAATGACTCTAGTGCAGGCGTTGGCAGTGTTTTCCAGCAAAGAAACACTGGGGTCCCAGATGAGTAGGTACTAGCACCCGGCTGCTTCCACTGCTTCTCCCTGGTAGCTGGCTGTGATATACCCCAAGGAGAGCTCCTCTTCCACTAAAACACAGAGCACCTGACTGTGGCATTGTACAGCATGGCCAATCCAGCCTGTGGGCCTCAGGTTACTGACCCCTACTCTACTGTTATGTGTTAATAGGCAGAAAGTTTCTGCATCTAGCATCCACAGGCACCTGTGCACCATAGCTTTCAATACTCATTAAATTAAATAGGTTTATAACATTTAAACTTGTTTATTTTAGAGTGTCACATCAGTGTTTGCACTCAGTAGGTTTTTGAATGAAATAAGCCTAGTCTCTGGCTGGTGCCGCAGGAAAACGGGATGGTCCAGCACTGCCCCCCTGGCCCAGGACATCCGACCCCATGCCTCAGGGAGCTGGCAAACTGCACAAGGGGAAAAAAAAGGAAGCAATCCAAAAGCAGAAGCAATTTGAAGGGATGAACTACAAAAAAGTTGCAGCCACCTGGTGGACAAAGAGGCTCATTACACATCTTTGAATGTCTTTGTGTTTGCACACAATGAATCCATGGACGTGACACTTTAATTCCTGGTAAGCCAAACTAAACTACATCTGAGGATTTTTACTTTAATGCACCAGAAAGACTTTTAAAGCATCCGGAAATCCCACTCATGCAAACAGTCATGCAGTTGCAGCACAAGAAAGAGCAAAAAATGTGGTGTGTACAAAGGCTGGGGTTAAAGTGAGTGTGTAAAATTAGGGTGGTCATCTTGGCAACAGTGAGCTGCTTTGTATGGAGTGATACCTGTTGCCAAATAACCTTGAAAGTAACTAGGATAAGACTGATTTTTTTTGTTTGTTTGTTTACTGAGCTCCCAGAGAATCTATAGAAGTCCAAGCCATCAAATGACAGTGAGCAAGGTCCTCCTCTTATGTGGTAGTGATGCAAACTGTTTGCAAAAACACCTTTCAATCTATGCATGTGTCCCCCAGTTGGTGGAACACCAGTCTGGCAGAGGATCTGAGAAGGAAGTCCTGATTGATTTAATTTTCTCCATTACTTTCTTTTCTGAAGTATTTGCTGTGCAAACTGGCCTTTATTCTTGCTAACTTCTCTTCCACATTTGTCTAAATTAATCCTCGATGTGGTTTTCTGTGTTCTCAGGTGGATATGCTGCCTCGCTTATAGTTGCTTATAACTCCTTTCCCAACCATATAAATTACATCCCAATTTTTTGTTCCATAAGAGAGAAAGCTGACTGTTTTTGCTCAGTTCTGTCTTCCATGCTTAAAGCCATTATTGAAGGATTTTTTTTTTTTTTACATAAGGGCAACTAACTGATTCACAAGTTGTTCAGGTTACATTATTCACACGTTACAAGCTGTACAGGCACAGTGATTCTTATTAGAGAATGGCACTGGGATTCAGTCCCTTTGCAATTCTAATTTTCCATAGCAAAAGCAAAAATAATGTGACAAAATGGAATAAAATAGAAGGGTCAAAGTTTACTTTTACCAATCTGAATAGGAATAAGGATTTTTCATTTGGTGTTAATGCAGGCATTCAGTATCTCCGTTTGCTTCATTTGTATTGTTGCCAGTCGTATGGGAAGAACAACTGTGACATGCATATGATTGCACTAGGGCCCTTTGAATTTCACAGAGATGAGTGCAGAATTTAGAATACAACGTGGCACCGTTCCTAACCCGTGTCAAGCAGTACGTGCAGAAGACATGGCAGCCAAAACAAGCTGTTCTTTGTAATCACAAATGAAACAACAATCTTAAATATCTTACAATGGTGAAAATGTCTGGCAAGCGTTTCTTAGCAGACAGTAACTAAGCATCTCCTACCATATTTCGGTGAGCTGCGATGCAGATGGTAAGGTCATTACAAGTTTTCCTGACAGTTGCACACACAAACACACCTGACAGGATTATAAATTAATCTCCACAGAGGAAATTGCCTAAAACAGAAATGGATACAGTTTAGTTGGGCAATAATACCAGACAAAGCAGTTATAATGGGTGATTGAAACTGTAAAATTGGTTGTATTAGTTGATAGGTCTGTTCAATTTGCTGCATCTTAGTGATGCCTTTTGCCTAGCACTTTTTTCCTAGGAATGCCTTGGAACCAAATAAGTTGGTATTTGCATATTATAGCAATTTATGGTTGGTCAGTATTGGCTATGTTGGATCTAAACCTTTGCCCGGAGAAATTTTGCTGCAGACTTAAATAGAAGGAAAATGAGATCAATTTTATGCACATGTCAACATGCGACTGTCAAACTTGTAGGCTGAGTGCATTTTTTTTCCCCAGATACCTGAAACTGCCTGGAATAAGTGCTATGGAAAAGATAGATCTTTTCCACTCTTATAGGTGCCCATCTAAGTTAAAGTGTGTCTTTGGGACTCAGTTATGGTGCAACACAGTTTGGTCCTGTCCATGCTACCAGGGCCAAACCACGTTACCATTCAGCTGGGCAAAGACAGGCTCAGAATTGTATTTCCCTTTATTAAAGTGCAGCATCCTACTTGGATTAGATTCGAATTTATAGTGTGAATCAAGCTGGGGAAGAAATAGTGATCAGCTGTCCACAGGCAGCTAAGACTTGAAATGTGTTTGGTTGCACAAGAAAACTTGATTGTATCAGTTTTTGAGCTGGAGTTTTCATTCTTTCCCATAAATTAAAATGAAATCTTGTTGCTTCTGTGATTGATAAAAGGTATTTTCTGCATCCTGCTTATTCTACTTCAAAATATTTTGAAATGATTTCTTATTTACATTCTCACATTTTAATGCATCTGATTCAGTTCAGTTTTATACAATCTGGTTAGTTTGGATTTTATATTGTTGTAAATTAACAGGACACAGCCACCCTCACTCTGACACAAAGTCAGCACTGAAACTGCTAGAATTATTTTGAGGCAAGTAAAAATGTGGAACTCTAAATAAGATATGGGTTGTGTCCAGAGTTGTTATTTATTTGTGTGCTTTATGCAGTAACTTTTTGAGGCCTCAGCCAAGTTGGGGCCTTATTGCTCAAGGTGCTGTAAATCATGTAGTACAAAAGGTGGCCCCTGTCTCAAGGAACTTACAGTTTTCTTTCCAATCCTGTACTTGATATGGGAGAAACCCCACTGATGTTAGTGGGGCTTCCCTTAAGCAGTTTTACTCATGTACATGCAATCAGAGGTGCAGAGCCTTAGTTTAAGACAAGTAACAGGTGGTTGAAACAAATATATTTTGGGGTGGGAGGGAAGGGGAGGACAGGGCATAAGTAAAATGGCCTAGGATGTAGGAGGGGAGACATTGGCTACATTCGCTAAGAAATGCAAAGTATTTTTGTAATGTGATTATTTTCCTTAAGTGCAACACTGATGCATAGATAATAACATAGAGGAGATCAAAGGGCTAGAGAAATGCCGAAGCTTGATTCATCTTAGCTTGGCACACAACCGGATCGCTACAATCAATGGTCTTAAAAACTTACCTATCAAAACACTCTGCTTGGTAAGTATTAATTTTTTTTTGAAAGCTTTCTTTTTTTAACTGGTCCAGACCAGTTTCTTAAGAAACGCATCATGTGCTAAAAATGTAGGTTCCCCAGATCTGTTTAATACAGTGTGGCCCCAAGGACATTTGATTATTTGTTTTATTTTGTACCATGCTGTTTGCTTTATCAGATCCTGCGGGTTAAGGGCGGGGGTGCAGCGGTGTATTTGCATTCTGCTTTGATTCTTGGTCCACCCAAACTTTAAACCAACTGCCAAGTGAGACAGGCAGTGGCATCTATGGAGGCAGTGCTAAAAGAGTCAGTTGACATCATGTCTTATTATCATTTCCCTGATTCATGCTAATCTCTTTCTTCTCCACAGGTGTTAATGACCCTCTATCCTTTTCAATGGCCACTGATATTCCACTCTTCAAACTATCCTATCTCCTGCAAGTTTGCTGTCTGTTAACTATTCCTACCAGTGTCTCTCTCCTGTTTCATAGCCCTGCAGGCTGTTTTTAGCTCTAGCTAAAAACCTGAACTCAGATGTGGTATTGTTAACTCAGGTGTAGAAATGACTGAGAACAAGTGTTGGAGCACTTCCAAGATGCTCAAGACAGCTAGATTTTGTTTTATGCATTTGAATAAGAGATTTATTTAACTATAATGACTACTGGACTGATGACAAAATGTCTTTTGACTGTTTTGGCTATAGTTTGCCTAGCTGTGTTTTTTAAAATGTGTACCGTATTTACTTGAATAGAAGAGGACCATGATTATAAGCCAATCCCCAATACTGTATTTACTTGATTAGAAGATGAGATTATCTCCCATATAACACGGGGAAAAGCCCCCCTCATCTTACAATCGAGCACAAGGCAGTGGGAGGAAAGGGCAGAAAGCTGCTGTGGCTCCAACCCCAGCCCAAGGTTGGGGCTGAAGCTGGAGCCAGAGCTGCAGCTAGCTGGTGCCTGCCCTCCCCTGCTGCCTCTGTATGCCCTGCTACTCCTCCCCTGCAGCCCCCAGTCTTCCCCCCCATGCCACTTCTCCCTCTGGTTCCACCTGTACTGCCCACCTCCTTACCTTTGCTCTGTGCTGGCCCTGCTGCAGTCTGGGGCATGGAATATGGATCCAGCCCAGCCCTGTAACAGCAGCACTGGCTCCATGCCCCTGCTGTGGGGCCATGCTGGAACTATGCTCTGTGCCCCAGGCTGCAGCTTGCTGGTGTGGAGCAAAGGTAAGTGGGGGGCCTGAAGGGGCAGGCAGTGGGGAGAGACCTTTGGTGAGGGGGAAGATGGGAGGAAGGCAGGGTGGGCACCTGAAGCTGTGGATGGCAAAAGGAGGAAGGAGTGGGAAACAGGGGAAGGGTAAATCAGGGAAGCCTGAGGCTGCAGAGGAGGAGGGGGCAGGCACAATGTGGGGGTGGGGAGGCAGGTAAATAGAGGAGGGCAGGCAGCAGAGGGCCTGCCCCCTACCACTATCCCCCACTGCTTGTTCCATTACTGCTCCCCCTACCTGGCCTACATATGGCTCCCACGATTGCCTCCCCACACAGTCTGTCCACCACCACCTGCCCCATTACTGCCCCCTAATCACCTCTCCCCCCACCATGATGAATTTCATAGATTGCAAGGGCTGGAAGGGACCTTGGAAGATCATCAGGTCCAGCCCCCTGCACCAAGCAGAAAATACAACTGGGGTCAGGCAACCCCAGAAGGTAACTGTCCAGTCTCCTCTTGAAGACTTCCAGGGTAGGCGATTGCACCACCTCTGGAGGGAGCTTATTCCACAGTCTGGACACTCTAACTGTGAAGAAGTTTTTCCTAATGTTGAGCCTGAATCAATCTTCCAGGAGTTTGTGACCATTACTCCTGGTTTTCCCCTCCGGGTGCCCTGGTGAACAGTTGCTCACCGAGCCTTTCATGTCCTCCCCTAGTGTAGTGGTAAGCTGCTACCAGGTCCCTTCTCAGCCTTCTTTTCCTCAGGCTGAAGAGTCCCAGATCGCTCGGCCTTTCCTCGTATGGCTTGCTGTGCCAGACTCTGATCATACAGGTGGCTCTTCTCTGGACTCTCTCAAGCTTGTCCACATTCTTGTTAAAGTGCAGTGCCCAGAACTGGACGCAGTAGTCCAGCTGTGGTCTCACCAGTGCTGAGCAGAGCAGAGCAGAGCAGAGCAGAAGAATTACCTCCTTGGTTTTGCTGGAGATGCATCAATTGATGCATGCCACAGTATTCTTTGCTCTACTGGCTACAGCATCGCACTGTCAGCTTATAGTCATAGCGTGGTCTATTATTACCCCCAGGTCTCTTTAATTCGTGGTGCTGGTCAGGTTGACTTTGCCAAGCCTGTAGGTGTGTTGGGGGTTGTTCATCCTCAGGTGGAGCACTTTACATTTCTCAATGTTGAACTTCATCTGGTTCCAGTCCGCCCAACTTGCCAGCCTGTCTAGGTCCGCCAGTATCTATAGCCTATCTTCAAGTGTGACCACATTCCCCCATAACTTGGTCTCATCTGTGAACTTGGCCAGTGAGCTCTTTACCCACACATTCAAATCATTAATAAAGATGTTAAAAAGTACTGGACTGAGGACCAACCCCTGCAGGACGCCGCTACCCACTTCTTCTTAAGATGACCTTCCAATAATTAGATTCCATACATGGAAAATTATAATAAATGTATATATTTTCCATGTGCAGAATCTAATTATTGAGGAGTCATCTTACATTCAGGGTCATTTTGTACTTGGGTAAATATGGTAATTACAGATTTCATAGATTTCATAGACATTTGGGCTGGAAGGGACCTCAGAAGATCTTCAAGTCCAGACCCCTGCCTCAGGGGCAGGAAGTAAGCAGGGGTTATAGGATCCCAGCAAGATAAACATCCAAATGTCTCTTGAAGGTATTCAAAGTAGGTGCTTGAACTACCTCCGGCAGATGCTGTGATTACAGCTATAGAATCTAATTATTGGATTTTTTTTTGAATTTGTCCCTTTTCCACTGCTACAGCAGGGAAAATAAATCTGGGGGTGGTCAGGTAGCCCTCTTCCTTTCTGCTTCCCCCCAGCTTTTTCTGTGCCGGCAGGCTGTGTCCCTGCTGCTGCCAGGGGCCAGGCTGGTGCCATGCTCTCTGCCCCAGGCTGCAGCAGGGATGGAGTCTGCCAGCATGGTGGTGGGGGGTGAGGAACAAATTTGAAAACGATAACCTTGAAAATAAACATGGCTATAGCAATTTGCGTATGGTCCCCATGCACTTAGTTCATCCAAAATTGATGCATATTATTTTTTTTTTAACTGTTGCTAGTTTTAGCCCAGGCATTCCATAAACACAATTTTGAGCAGCTTTTTGGCATGCATATTATATGTAGGACAAACTTTTTTTTGCGGAAAAAAAAATAATATATATTTATTTATTCACACACACACACACACACA